GGGTTTCCCCCGCTTTGTTTCCCCAGGCCCGCCACAGCTTCCACTAGGGAGAAGAAGAAGCAGAAGAGGCGGTCGGAGCGGGGCCGAGCGCCGCGGTTCAGTGGGCAGCCGCGCAGCCGGTAACTCACGGGTGGGTAAGATTTTCAGAATCACCACCAGATCGGCCACGTTGTGCCCCGTCGTCATGGTGCCCTTCTTGTAGGAACCGACCTGGCGAACCTCCTCGATTTGCTGTTTGAAGAAGCAAAGCAGAAAGGAGTGAATTTAACGCGCGTGCTACGTTTCTGGGAGCCAGCGTGAATCTTTAATCCGCCTGGGGCCAGGTTTGGCAGCTAGAACACCAGCATCCCTTGTGCCGAAGCATCTCCACACGTAGCTGCTCTTTTTTTTTTTTATTTTTCTCCAAGCTCACCGCTTTTGGACTCACCACTTCAAACGTTCCCGGCGCGACAATTAAATTGTCGATCACGTTGTTTATTTTGGTCACCAGAGAAAGAATGGAAGCCTGAAAAGGAAATGGAAGAGGGGTGGTGTTACCAGCCAGTTGTCCAGTACGACTTGAAATAATCTGATCTTGGCACAGCATAACGCAGACAGCCCTGATGCAAGATACGTAACAGACAGACGAAAGAAACGTATTTAAAAATCACTGTCCGAGAAACTCCACCCATATTTCTACTGTAGTGCTTATTTCGGAGAGGAGTAATTACTTTTTAGGGTAGTAATGACTACTCCTGGCTACGCTCTCCGAAGGATAGTCTGGTTTTGCGTCCTCTAACACTGCAGTAACATCCAGCCGAAGAATTTAAGGCAATTTTTGGCACAAAACCTGTTCAGCGGCGGTGGGAGCGAGGTCCTGGTTTCTCTTCAGCAAGGCTTCGCTGAACGCAGTCTCGTCGGCGGCAGGTTTGACGCGGGGGAAGGCCATTTCGCACTGAAACGGGATCAGATATCAGACTGCAACGCCCGAGAAGACGACTTCGGTTCAACCCACTCACCAGCAAAATTTACTACTTTTTTTTTTTTTTTTTAAATTCTCCAGCACTTGTTCCCTTTGCGACTCCCCATCGTGCTCTTCACTTGTTGCTTTTATCGATTTCGTGTTATCCTAAGGGAGGGAGAGCAGCTGCCTGTCCCGCCCGTACACTCTCGCCGCGTTCCGAGAGGAACGGCAGAGGAGCCGCCAGCGTGCCCGTGCAACTAAGGGGTGCGAGACGGGGCAGATCTAACTTAAGAATGGCTGTATCAAGAGGGGTTTTATTAACTATATTACAGTCCCTTGGGAATAACGCTCTGTTTGCGGAGCTTTTCAGTTGCTATGACGGGATTCGCAGCCACAGGGCCTGGAAGGCAAAAGTGAACTTGTTTGCTTTGAGAGTCACGTGTCCGTAAAGGGCGGCAGGAGGAAATTATTAAAGGTGGGAAACGCGCGTTTGCTGTCGGTCTTTGTGAGGACCAACAGGGCAAAAGAGCCTGGAGAACTTCTGACAGGTGAGTGACGGCTATCGGAGTAACCCAGGAGGTTTGTGTTACAGAGAGCTGACGGGATTGAGGGTCTGGGTGAGTGAGGTGCCTTAAAAAGCAGAAAAACCTCAATCGGGGCGTTTATTCGTTGTGATCGTTACTCAACCGCATCCCAGTCATCCCGTGTGACACGAGTACTCCCAACAACAGAGACAGTAAGAGCTATTTCGGGTTAGTTACTGAACCGACAGCATTTTCAGTGAGCTCCTTTACTCCGGCTAAGCTAAAAGAAGTTAAACCATCAAAGTCGGCAAACGAGGTTTTTTTTTAAGGCAGCGTCTTTAAACAAGCAGAAGTCCCGCAGCTTGTTGCCTGCGAACAGCTCTGGAGGAGGGGGTTACTCACGACATAGAAATCAAAGGGGATGTGCGGCACAAAGGGCCGGAACCTAAAGGGGGAAAGAAAAAAAAAAACGAATTTATTCTCTGCGGGGGTGTCTACCCGCTCGCCGCTGTGTTCGTCATCGCCAAACACCCCCCCCCAGCTCCCCGTCACCCTTTCATGGAGGTTTGTTCCCGAGACGCGAGAAAGGCCCTACAGAAATAGGAAAGGTTTCTTCCTAACCCACCCC